GTCGGGTAGCCTATTCCCGTAACAATGACGAAGTCTATGTATTCAATATCATAGCACTAAGTCTAAGAGAGTTAACTCTTTTAGCACAACGTTACATGCGAAACGGACTTAGACAATCCGCATGCTAGCCCAACTCAAATGGTATATCGGTAAAAGCTTATCAAATCTGTTGACTGAGAATTTGCCAAAAATCCTATAAGTCTGATAGTCATTGACGCACCAGCTTCATCAGTTGGTCTCGTGACTTGAGAACCCGAGATAACACCAATTCCAGCCGAAGTCTCCACGAAGAACTTTGAAAGCATTTGCAATGATAGCCGTATCAGCTCTAATAGATGATCCTACAACCAAAACTCGCCTGTGGTTAAGCAAATAACTAACTAGACGTAAAGGTAAAATCCATACATGCAGAAGAACCAAGTCTTAATAGTTGGCATTGCAGCCTCTACACTTGGGACTGTCACGCGTTGTAATGAAAGTCAATACCGATCAACGCATTGCAATGATGGTCAACACTAGTCAACACGTAGCCGCGAGTCAACGCTAGTCAACACATTATGATGAAGGTCAATGTGTCGACAATTTTTGCCAAAACAAGGCTTCGATCAATTCCAAAGCAAAGGATAATCCCAGGGAGTTCAATCGCGATTCAGATGAAAATCTCTGATGAAGATAATCAGTTCAATATTGACTCAATGGCATGAGCTAAGATTAGAAACCAATACATTAATTTCAGTTCAAGACTTCGACAACGATCAGACGATAAACGTAGCACCCGCAGAATCTTAACTATTCGACAAAATACTGAATAGACTGAGAATTAAAGAAGTCAAGAACTGAATCTAATTATAAGTCCTTTTACACCAATTGAAGGTGGGGTCCATCACATCCAAAGTATTTTAGGCTCTTCTATAAAAGAAACGAGACCGAAACACTTTGGATGGGGTATCTGTAGGCATCAAAAATTATCTATGGGTTCTCGCACGTAGCTCAAGATGGAGAGAAGATGATAAATATTATTATCTAAGTCAAAGAGGATTATTTGATGTTGACAAGTGAATGAAGTGAGTCGATGAAGCGTACGAACCAATGGGACAACATAATGATGAAGAAACGACCCGATTAGGAATTACGTTTCACTCATGAAAGATGAAGCACCACTCATATATCATCCACTCCACATATAATTAACCTATGAGAGGTTGTAGATCTCATCTCTGGTTTTCTGACATACTTTGAATCATCTCATTCCGAGGTCGGACGAGAGAGTTAGAGCCAAAACACTCGAGACATTCTAGACTGTTTCGCACCTGCGAGATACCAACTGTGTCTTGCATATTTTGGTCATGATACGATTTGAATTTGAATAATATCAAAACATAAAAGGTTTAGACCTCTTTGTTGTCTTTCCAAATCATCTTGAATCATCTCATTCTGAAGTTGGATAAAAGAGTTAAGACCAAAATACCCGAGACAATCCAAGCTGTCTCGGACATGTGTGAGACAGTCAAAGTGACTTGTGCCCAGTTCAGCTCCCGATGTGTTTTCTAATAAGATTGGCTCCTAGAACTCATTGGGGTCATCCATAACTATGTTAGGTTATCTTTAAGTGTGTGGAAGCTATTACACAACCGAAAACCCACCTAAATGGATAATAACTATTGTTCTTCGATCCTATCCACAAACACGGAATTCCTATCCACAAACATGGTATTTAAAGCCTATAAATACACCCTTAGCACCCTCATAAAGGCAGATCTAAAGGGAGCTACGAATTTTAGAGGAGCTAGGGTGAGGTTCTGACGAATTTGAGAGAGGCTAGCAGATTTTGGCGAACTCCGGCATAAAGAAGAAGTGTTTCGAAGGATCTGAGGCCCGTCCCCCCATTCCTTGAGATCAGACTTGGTCTTGATTTTGAGAAGAATCGTAATCTCACTTGATCGAGATTATCACTTCAGCGATTATTTTCTTTGTGAAGTAAGAGCTTTAATCAATCTTATGTTAACCAAATCTTATCCGCGATGGTCCACGGATAAACCCCGACACAAGCAAAAATCCCATGTAAACATAGACTAATAAATAGGATCTGTGTGTTGTTTGAAGGAGATTGTAATTTTTATTTTTAATGTGTAAATGTCTTATAAAAAGGCCAATCTTTTTGAACTTGTTGTAACGATCAAAGTTGTAACGAGTTATACAATGAATAAAACAATTTCTGACCCACACAGTGAAGTTGTTGCTTTTGATAGTTTGAAAGAGCTTTATGTTGATGATGAAGACTTTCAGGATATTTGGGCAAAGTGTTTGACAAGATAACCTACATGAGACTTTATTATTATAGATGGCTTTCTGTTTAAAGAAAACCGGCTTTGTATTCTAAGGACGTCATTGAGGAAAAAGATAGTTCGAGACTTACATGGTGGCGGGCTTGGTGGACACTTTGGGCGAGACAAGATTGTTTTAAGTCTTGAGGAGAGATACTATTGGCTGAGTTTGAGGAAGGATGTGGCAACACTTGTGCGGAGTTGTCAAGTGTGCCAAGTTGCAAATGGGCAAGTGCAGAATACTGGTTTTTATACTCCTCTACCTTTGCCGAAGGATATATGGGAAGATTTGAGCATGGACTTTGTGTTGGGACTTCCCCGAACATAAAGAAGCATGGATTCGGTCTTTGTGGTAGTGGATTAATTTTCTAAGATGGCTCACTTCATTCCATGCTACAAGACTTCGTATGTATCATATGTTGCACGACTATTCTTTCAAGAAGTGGTTCGACTACATGGTGTTCCTAGTTCGATTGTCTCGAATAGGGATACTAGGTTCTTGGCAACTTTTTTGCCTATTTTATGGTGACGATTTGACACTTTATTTGAAGTATTCTAGAATTGCACACCCTCAAATGGTTGGACAAACAGAAGTGGTCAATCAGACTTTGGGAAACTTGATTCGATGCATATATGGAGAGAAACCAAAGATGTGGGATCAAGATATACCTCAAGCTGAATTTTCCTACAACATGATTGTTTATAGTTCCATAGGTATGTCTCCTTTTTCTATTGTTTACAGGAAGACACCTCGATATCTCCAAGATTTGTTGAAGTTGCCGACAAGTAGCAAGTTCAGTGAGGCAGCAAGTTCAATGGCCAAGAATGCTATCAATATTCAGGAAGAAGTGCGTACAAATCTTGAGAAAGTCAATGCAAAGTTCAAGGCACGAGCGGACAAGAAGAGGCGACTCAAGGTGTTCAATGAAGGAGACATGGTGATGGTTTACTTGTGGAAGGAACAGATACCGGTTGGAACATATAGCAAGGTTAAGCTGAAACGATATGGACCGTTCAAGATTCTCAAAAAGATCAATGACAATGCATATGTAGTGGATCTTCCAAACGGAATGGCTATGTCAAAGACATTTAACGTGCCTGACCTTCCAGATTATCATCCTACAATCGAGTTGTATTCGAGTGATGCGAACTCAGAGACGAGTTCTTTTGAAGAAGGAGGGACTGATACAGGAGATCTACAAGATGAGATGACTGAAAAACGAGACGAGATGACCAAATAGATGGATGAGATGAGACTCGACTCAAACAAGATGAGACGATAACAAACCGGGCGAGTCGAGATGACGACTCGAGGCAAAGTAACCCATCTGAGATGAACAGACGACTCGAGGTGACAGGACGAGACGACAGGTGATAGGACGAGTCGGCACATGCCAGTCGACACGAAAGGTGGAACTACTCGACATACTTAGTCGACTCATGTCTAGTCGACACAAAAGGCGTTACTACTCGACATGCCTCATGTCGACTCAAAGACAGATTAGGAAAGTTTCATATTTTTGGTTATTTTCTTTTTAAATTCAGACTTTCTTTTTTATTAGGATTAGGATAAGGTTAGTTGGCTATAAATATTAGTTCTTTTTGTAAATAGGGAATTAACTTTTCAATTATTGAATCAATAGAAATTTCTCCATTATTTTCTTCCCTAAACTTGGGAAAATTAGGACTTGTGGATTCAATCTTGTTATCTATATGTTATTGTCAGGGTTCATCGGCATCGGAACGATATCCGATCGGCCTCCCCATTTCTACGTCTCCGTCAAACCTTATAATTAAAAATCTTTCAAGTTAGGCTGGTCATTAAGCCAAGATAGAATTGCATATTGTAAAAGAGAGATAGAAAGAAAAAACAAATAAGAGAAATCTAGGGTTTGTAAAGATCTTTTTAAGAATGCAAGAAAGATTATACATTTTTAATCCCTACTGTAAAGAAGAATCAAATCTCTCTTTTTGGACATAGGCGATTATCAATCTGTATAAACCCTTGTATCTTATATCTTGATTTTACTTTTTTACGGTTCACCACTTTTCCATTTTGTCAAACATTGCTTCTCTTAGGGCTTGTTTTGTTCATGGATTGTTTTTGATGCATGTCATAGATATCGAAAAATCCATACTTGAAGTCATGTTTGTTTTTCAATGGATATTAAATTATATTTACATAAGATATACAATCCAATCAAATATCGTTTGGTTGCACATGCATTTTGCTATGGATATGTTACTAAAATCACAAATCTGAATGACATTAGAATAATTTTAGGGTTCATAATAGATTCATTTATCTTACATGTTAATCTCAAATTCGATGCATGAAAAATAGCAAACAAACAATGTATTTGATAATAAGCAATAATTTTAAGCTTGTGCGTCTCACATTTCAATGCAAAACCCACAAAATATATGGAAACAAATAGTGCCTTAGTGTTTTCCAATTGCCAAGGTGATCGATTGCCTTAAAAATGGTAGTGATCTAGTTGGGAGATTTAGGTGATGCTTGCGCACATGTGCTGATCCTCAACATCAAGGAATACATATATATGACATAACAATTTTGTTGTTATCACCGGTTTTCTAGCGATTTTAATCCATTTAATGATTTTTTTTTGAAAAGGCAGGTAGGGTAACTTAACAAGCCAAGTCCTCAACAACACTCTATCTCAAAAACAAAGGGACAAAAACAAACAAAAAACAAGAGGATAAATAGTCAACCGACTTAGTTAAGGAGTGAGCAACACCATTACCAGTGCGTCTTATATAAGAAACTTTAGAGTAGCCAGTAATACTCAGACCAACACGAACTTCATCTACAATAGGAGCCAAGGAAGCAAAAGGAGAAGAAGTGTCCACCAAGGAGACAACCTTTAGAGAGTCAATTTCCACCATTGAAATCCTCCAGTTCATATGCCAAACAAAGCAAATGCCTTCCGAGATAGCCAATAACTCTGCATGATCCACAGACATAGGACCCCTGATCCGCATAGAGTAGCAACCAATCACATGTCCATGGTGATCCCGAATAACACCTCCCAAACCAATAATATCTTCTTCTAGAGGAATAGCAGCATCTGTGTTAAGCTTTAGAAAACCAGGAGCAAGGGGATACCAAGCAGAAGGCCATTTGGAAGGGGTGACAAAGTCATGGGAGAGACCTCTAACTCTATCCCCTTCCTCCACAAAACAGAGAATCCGAGTCACCAAGACCGAGGTCTCTCTAACACCACCACTATAAGAGTGCATATTCCTTTCTCCCCATATAAACCACATGGTTGTGACAGCCAAAGCCAGAAAGTCCCCAGGGCAAACAGAGGTGAGATGGAAAAGAAAAACACCACAAGACGTGCCTCGAAAACCATTAATCACTTCCTAAAGATCTAAGGACACCTACACTAAATGAGCAAAGGAGGAGACAGTGAAGATATAAAGGACGGTCTCAAAGGCAACAGAGCAAAGGCGGCAACTAGGGGGCACAGAGATCCCCCTACGAGATAAACCAGCTGAAGTGAGGAGAGCATCATAGAACAGATGCCAAAGGAACATACTAATCTTCAGTGGGATCTCCGCATGCCAGATCAAGGACCACCACTTCTCTACCCTAGAATCAGAGGTGGAAGCAGTATCAGGCATAGTGTGGTGAAGAAGTCGGTATCCGCTCTTAACTGTGTAGCACCCCTTCTCCTCATAATGCCAAATGAGTCTGTCAGGGACAAGAGAAGGCGGTAGTGGGATAAATGAAATGTCCTCTCGACCTACCTGCCAAAAGGAGGTAGCAATCAGCTACTGATTTCAAGTATCCAAAACAGAGATCGGCTCAGCCACCCTTTCGGAAGGGTCAATCGGAGAAGTGACTAGCCTAAAAGAAAAGGGTATTGGGATCCATAGGTCAGCACAGATAGAACCACTCTGGCCATCACCTATCCTCCATCTCAGACCTCGAGCCAGGATATCTCTTCCCTAGATAATGCTCCGACATAAATAAGAGCAGCCCCATGACCGACACCTGCTAAAAGGAAGTCAGAGTCCCTAAAATACTTCCACTTCAAAACCCTACTAGCTAGAGAAGAAGGGTCCTGAATGTTCTTCCATGCCTGCTTAGCCACCAATGCCTGATTAAACATCTGTAGATCTCTAAAGATTAGACACCCATTTAACTTTGCACGATACACCTTTTGCCACCTAACCCAGTGAATCTTTCTCTCTCCAGAAATTGATCCTCACCAAAATCTCATAATGATAGACTCAATTTCCCACAACACATAGTATGAGATCACCTGCAAAACAACTTTCACTATAACCTCTCGCCCCCCCAGCTGAGAAAAGGGCCCTCCTCTAAGCTTGGACTCTTTTCCAAACTGAGTCTCTGATTGAAGTAAAAGTCTGACGACGGCTTCTTCCAACCACTGAAGGGATGCCTAAGTACCGATCATGTGACTGGGCCTTATCAAGCCCCAAGATAGAGAAAATAGAGGCCCTAGTATCCTCATCTACATAGGGGATAAAGGTGATGACAGACTTCTAAAAGTTAGAGAAAATAGAGGCCCTAGTATCCTCATCTACACAGGGGATAAAGGTGATGACAGACTTCTAAAAGTTAACTTTTTGACCGGTTGCAGTCTCATATAGTAGTAGAGTACTCTGGACACTCTGTGCAGCGGCCTGAAAGCCTGAATAAAAACCAAAGAGTCATCTGCAAAGAACAAGTGAGAAATCTTTGGCCCTGACTGGGAAAAAGATAACCCTCTGATGCACCTGTTCTCCTCCTGTCTGATGATCAGTGTCGAGAGAGCTTCCGTGCAGAGAAGAAACAAATATGAAGATAGTGGGCATCCTTATCACAGACCACGAGTAGGAGTGACCTGACCCATAATCTGCCCATTGAGGCAGAAAGAGAGTGAGGAAGTAGAGATACAGTCCAAGATGAGAAGCTTCCAATGATCTAAAAATCCCATGACCTGAAGAGCCTTGTTAATAAACCCCCATTCCACTCTATCACATGCATTACTCATATCCAATTTTAGTGCCATATGGCCAGACTAACCCCGTCTCCTTTTTAGCAATGTGTGGAGAAGTTCAAAAGCAACAATGATATTGTCCTGAATTGATCTCCATGGGACAAGGCACTCTGAAAGCATCCGATCAATCTTCTAAGAACTCGCTTTAGCCTATTAGCAATGGTTTTCATGACAATCTTTATAGACCACATTACATAGACCAGTGGGTCTAAAATCTGCCACCGTCTCAGGTGAATCCTTTTTGGGGATGAGATCCATATTGGTTTTATTCTAATACTTGATAGACGAGCCCCCATTTAGAATCTTCAAACATGTAGCCAAAATATCTGGGCCAATAACAGACCATCAAGACTGAAAAAGGATGCATGGAAGCCATCTGGATCGAGTGCCTTAGAAGAGCCCATAGATCGAAGAGCACCCCATACCTTATCACCTGTAAAAGGCTCAAAAATGATCCGGAGGTCATCCACTGAAAGCTTAGAAGAGATAGCACCATCCATCTCAGCCAAAACCTCCTCTGATTTAGTGGAAGAAGAAAATAGTTCTGAGAAATACTCCTCAATAAGTGTTGCAATTCTGACCTGATCCTCCACCCAAGTGCCATTAGGATGACGTCGACAACTAATGAATTTCTTCCTCCTCCTAGTAGAATCTATAATATGGGAGAATTTGGTGTTACGGCCCCCGTCTCAGAGCTAATCAACCCTAGCTTGTTGTCGCCAGAAGCTCTCTTCCCTTTACTCAAGAACCTCCCTCTCCTTCTCTAGTCTTCGGATCTCAGCCATACGATCTCCCATATCAGGAGAAGACTAGAGAGACTGGAGTTTTCGCTAAATAACTATTAATCTATGCCTCCATCTATCAAAATGTTATTTGCTCTAACTACTGAGATTTGTAGCACAAAACCCTAGCTTCTGACAAACTGATTCACATAGGCCTTGTTGTATGGAGATCCCATGCCAGACCCTACTAATAACATTACTCAAATCATCCTCTTTGAGCCACAAGACTTCAAAGCGGAAGGAACGATCATGCCTAACTGGAAGGGGTGAGGAGCAGCAAAATATAACATAATAGGACGATGGTCAGAAATAGAAAAATCCAAGTGGTGTACCTCAGCAGTGAGAAATATGTCATGCCAGCCAGAGTCAGCTGCCATCCTGTCCAAGCACTCCTAGATATGAGATGTACCAGTCTGACGATTATTCCAATTGAAGGTGTGCCTGCAATACCCTAGATCAAGTAGCTCACAATGCAGCAGAACATTCTGAAAATCTAGCATTCTCGAAACATGTGCCTGTCTACCACCCAGCTTCTCCCCTGGACTCATGCTGGTATTAAAGTAACCTCAACATAACCATGACTCAGAGGAAAGACCCCTTCAACCGTCTTAACAGAACCCAGGACTGGTACTGTAAGTGTTTCTGAGGATGATTATAAAACCCGATGAATCGCCAGTTCCTTCCCGCTGAGTTAACAATTGATATGTAAATGTGCCCCGGAGAAAAAGAACGAATAGTCACATCCATTTCATCGCCCCATAGTAGCATGAGTCCACCACTTCTGCCTCTACTATCCACCATAAAGCAATTCTACAAACTCAACTGAGATCTCATTATCTGCACCCACATACCAGAAAGTCTAGTCTCCAAAAGAAAGACTAGATTTGAGGAATGAGTCCGCATCAATCTACGGAAAGCAGTCAACGTTTCAGGGTTCTTCAGTCCCTGAACATTCCAACAAATGTAACTCATGGCTCCTGGCGCCCCTGGCCACCAAAGTGCACCTCAACAAGGGTAGACTATGGACTGGAAATCACTAATCGTGCTCTCTTCTCATGTACATCCGGATGATCCTTCAGAGAATATTTCCCGTGTTTGCCTCCTTTCTCTTTCTGTTTGGAGCCTTGCTGCCCAGACCCTCTAGCAAGCCTCTTCCAGGTTGATATAGCCTGATTTTCGGAGGTGGATGTAGAAACTATAACATCATGCAAATCAGATCCAACACCGATATCCATGGGCAAGGGTACAGGAGGGGTTTCACACCTCACCATGACTGAAGTAATCTGTAGTAGTGCACTACCACGTGAATCATCATCCTGAGTATCATCTGAGACCACCCTAGATGATGGTTGTTTCTACCCCTCACGATCTGCTTCAGTTGCCCCAGAAGACCGAGTCTCAAAGACCTTGGAAGATGGAGGGGGTTCTTTGAGCCAAGAACCATATCTGCTTTTGGATGTGATAAAAATAACATCGACTTGTACACTTCGTTTGTCACACTCAGCAGCTTTGTGGCCAATAATGCCACATGAAAAGCAAAAGTCAGGAGTCTCTCATAGGTGAGGAAGAGCTTCTCAATCTCCCCGGTCACTTCAAAGCAAACATGTATGCCTCTTTTTAGAGGCTTAGTAATATCCACGAGTATTCTCAGCCGCATCTTGTTATCCTGCAAATCAATCCCTTTAAGTTCTCCTATAAGCGAGCCACAGTCTCTGGTACACCTCTCGTTCATCGCAGCTAGTCACTACTGGATTTACACCAAAATAAAGTTGAAGAGAAATCCAGAGAAGTTGGGGCACCGACCCCACGAGGAATAATCCAATTGAGCAAGTTTCTTTCAAAGCACCATGGCCCACCATCAAGCACTTTCTCCCTATCTGCATCATAACCGAATCTAAAAAGGAAAGTATTCCTTCCACTATAATATTCCACCTAGAAGGGGGCATCTACAATCCATACCTTCCTAAGGACACGCTCAAGATTATCTCTATTAGCAATCTTTCTACCAAAAACCTTCCCCATGAGACAGTTGTTAAGGGAAAGCGAATCTGTCCAGTCCTTAGTTGATAGAAAAACATGGCCATCTTTGTCGTCTAAGCTGCATTTGGCACAAAGCTCGGCCAGCCCATCATCATCAATTCTCGACATGTTCCAAATTGATTTGATGCCGTTAATATGAGACCGATAGACAGTCTTAAAACGGCGATGCCGTTAATTTGAGTCTGAGAGACGGCTTAAACGGTGATGCCGTTAATTGGAGACCGAAAGGCGGCCTTGAAATAGCAATGCCGTTAATTGAATATGAAATGACGATGTCGTTAAATAAATATGAAACAGTGATACCGTTAATTAATTATGAAACGGTAATGTCGTTCGTGTGAGCCGAGAGACAGCTACCTCGGAGGCCGAGATGTAGGAAACCCCGAAGACTGCCGTGAGGGTTGGGGATGGGACTCAGATCTCGTCAAATAAT